TGGCATGATTCATGGTAACGGGCTTTTCCTCAATTATCACGGGAATCTCGTGATTGTTATTTGTAATTAGTTACGGGAAGATCTTTGATTGAGATTTACTAGTATAATAGCATTACAAAACCTAAAAAGTCTCATTTAGAACATTCATGGCATCATAAGAATTATATGCTAAACATCACATATATATAACATGATTGTGAATGATACTATCAAGGTCATTCATCAATATTCACATACAGTCAAGAGGTTTAAAAGTTGTAGCTTTCTAACCAGATGGAACCTAATATAATCTAATTGATCATTTCACTTGATCAAAACATATCACCAAAATATAAATGCTTCTGCAAAATAATCTTGCATTGGCTATCCTCCTCAAAATAAGGATCCATATTTACAGTTGACATACGTACATGGTCGATTTGTCTTCATGTGTTGCACACCTATAATTAAGTCATAAAAGTGAAATTTCAAGGATGAGATTCAAATTGAAAGAAGAAAAAGAAAATCCAATGGAGAGATAAGGTATGCCTTAGTCTTGAAAATGCAAGGCAAATAACATCCAATTGATAATTACAAGAGCGAGTTACCACATGAGGAAAAGTAGATAGTTCGAGCAAGATGAATTTTACAAGAACTAATTAGACAGTATTCATAAAAAACTGCAAGTTCATCACTAAGACCAATTTATTTTTCATACACGGAAACCAAATAACACTATGACAAGTTAATATCCAACAACAAGTACATTACTCCAATTCATCTTTAACTCCTCTGCTTTCACATAATATCAGGGTTCAAGAAGGCGCGCCTAGGCTCAATTAGGCGCTAGGCGGTGGAGGTTCGCCTTGACTTGGTCATAGGCGTTGTAAATAGCGCTGGTAGCGCTTAGTAGGTATGAATATCGCTTAGTTTGCGCCTAGTGGAGAGAAAGCGTGTCTGGGCGTTCCTGGGCGAGCTTAGGCGGTTAAAACCAATACTCTTCGTTTTGTCCTAGAAAATTAGAAACTTGCCTCTTGCCCTAGAAAATCAGAAACACGGGAAGTAACATCTGCTGTCGCCTGCCGCCCTAGCTCTCGCCCCATTTGCTACTCTCTGCCGCCGCAGGAGAAAGTCATCGATCACTCTTATCGCCTTCACACCGCTCCTCTGCTATAGTGGGAAATAAAGTCGAAACTCGTCAATTGCTGCTCCTTCCTTCTCCTCGATACGTAGCACAAACTTCTTGCCTCTATAAGCACCTATTAGCAGATGATTGGTCACTATTTGCTTGTTATTTGTTATGTTAAGTGTTTACTGTTAAGAACTAGGCATTGCTAATTTTATATGCACTTGGGTTATATAAATTATTCCAGAAAATAGGAAATATTTGAGAATTTTTCCATTTATGCTCTGAACGCCTAGGCGCGCCTAGGCTACGCCTAATCGGGCAAGTCGCAAGTCAGGAACCGAGCGCCTGCCTTACGCCTAGCGCCTTTTAGAACCTTGCATAATATAAACAATAACATATAAACTCTACCTCTTAATTAGCCACGGTTTCTTCCCATCAATCAGATTCAACGATTCAAGCACCATATTTAGGTTGTTTCATGGTGTTCTTCCCTCTACATATCGAAGTAAATAGCAAGGGAAGGCTTACAAATAAACTTACAACATCGGCTGGAGGATTGTAGACAACCAAAACGCTACAGACAACTAGAAAAAGTAGCAAAAAAATTATTTACAAAAACAACTAGCAAAACAAAAGCAAGAGTTTTAGGGAAGTGTAATGAATTACCTATTTTTGCCTAGCTTGACAATTTTGAAACATCTGTCGCAACTTTTGCACTTCAGCTTTCAAATTAGTCAGTTCTACAGCTGTTTCTGAAAATGTACCTTTAAGATCAGTGACAATTTTTTGAAGAGCTTCATTTGCTTCATCTGACTTTCTTAGCTCTGCTTCCGAATTTGCCTACCTTTAATTCCTAGTATAAGTTGTGGCTTTTAAATCCCTAGGATTCAAGCCACACTACAACAAAAAGTAGTTTTTGCAACCAAAACCTTATCAACCAAATTGAAATTGGTTGCGAAAAGATCAGTATTTACGACCAATTACATTTTGGCAGCTAAAATATTACCAAATTGGTTGCCTATTAAAATTATAATAATGATAACCAAATAAAACTTGTGGAGATCAAATAATTTGGTAGCAAAATGATTTTTACTTTTTCCAACCAAAAATTATTGGTAGCAATATAATTTTTACTTTTTCCAACCAAATAATTTGGTAACATATTAATTTTTACCTTTTTCAACCAAATATTATTGGTTATTAATTTAAACAATAATTTAAAAACTTTTGATAATTTCGTTGCGAACTTAAAAAAAAATTCACAACTAATTTAGTTGGTTGTGGTTGCTCTGTTGTTAAATAAAAGTTAGAGACCGACTACTGTTAAAATTTGATTGTGTAATGTTTAATTACTTTTATCGAATCGAATAACAAACTCATTTCTCCCACAGTCCACTTTACTCTTTTTTTTCTCCCATCCCTCTCTGCTACCAAATTCCCAATTCCCATCATGTCTTCAATTTTTGTCCTTGATATCTTCATTTTATTGAGCAGGATGGGAATTCATTTTCCTGTTCGGTCACAGAACCAAACCTCTGTGGAAGCGATTTCATAGCCTTATTAATTTCACAGAACCAGATGATTTTTAGTGGTTACTTATGGAAAGAACTTCCATTACATGCCTCCAGACAATTAATGAATGAAATTTTCTTATTTTACAATGAATGGATCTGATTTCTTTTGTCCTGTGAAAGTTTAGAACCTAAAATGGTATTGATTGGGCTGTTGCTATTGTCCGTGCAGCATCAATACTGGACTGGAAATGAAGAACTTGTGCATATGTACGAGGACATGCTCTGATTTTAGGTGATGTACCATTTTCTTGGTCTCTTTTCTGTCCTATCTCTGTTTGCTTCCTATAATGAAGGATTCCAACTGATTCTTTTTGCCATCTGCAGAAGAATATCTTGATGGCGAACAATTGAATGATGGACTATTGACAACTATAAGAGAGTACATTTTTTAGTGTTTGCACTTGGTTCTTCTTAAGCTGGTTAATTGTATGAAATAGTGAGGATAGTCTTAGTTATGAAATTGTGCAATTCTGATTTTTGCTACTAACCAATAACCATGTTGTTATATACTATATATGACATGTATAATTTTTTACTGTAATTCAATTTAAATTTTTCAATGGTGCATTTTAATGACCAAAATTTCATGGAAAAAATTGGTAATATGAAATGATTTATTTGGTCGGCTTATGTGTTTTCCTCGACCAATTTTTATGGTTGTCTAACACTTTTATAATTAAAATAATTCGTCACAAAAAATAATGATTGTTTGGCATATGTATTTTTTACGACCAAAGTTTAAGGTTGACTTAAAATTTTATAACTAAAATAATTGGTTGGCAAAATGGTTTAATTGGTTGAGGTACATGTTTCTCACAACCAAATCTAAAGGTTGTTTTACATTTTCATAACAAAAATATGTAGTCATTTAAAATGATATAATTGGTTGTCATATGTATTTTGCGCGACCAAATTTTATAGTGGTACTAAACTTTTATAACCAAACTAATTGGTTGTGATAATGATATCATCGGTTACTAATAGTCACATAAATTGGTTGTCATTAGTATTTATAACGACCAATCAACTACATTTCTCAACCAATAGTATGGACTATGACAACCAAACTAAAAATTGTCACGAAAAATTAAGGATTTTAGCATTGGCCAAATTTGGTTGCGATAGCTAGATATTTCGCAACCAATCAATATTTTGGTTGCATTAGGAATTCGTAACGCGGGTATAGCGACCAAATCTGCTACCAAATATACTTGGTTACGAAAATTTATTAATAACCAATTTTGGCTTTTAGAAACCAATACTCTTGGTTGCAGAATGACATTTTTCTTGTAGTGCCACGTCCAAAGCAAATCAGACGACCCTTGTTTTGTTCTCCTACACTTGCTTCTATAACTTCGAATGCGTTGAAGTCTGGATTAGCTTTTAAATTATTTCGGCCACCTTAGTCTATGAAGAAAAAAGTACATCATAGAAAGTTAAAATAGGCCAACAAATTAAGATACAATGTTAGAGTCTTTAGTAGTTACATTTCTTGCATTTTCTGCCTTATCTTTAATTATATCCCCTTTTTATATGTATAAAAACCATCTCTGCTATTATTAGAGGTCTGCCCAACTTCTTCTCCTATAAATACATAAAGAACATGCAAAACATTATACATTCCTTCGTCTTTAAAGCTGCCAAAACAACTACAACAATCAAAAGTTCAGTTCTCTAGTTGCTTGTAGAAGTTCATAGGGGTAAAAAACTGGACTACATTCCCTTCAAATCCATATGGCGATTCTCTCTAGTTCCTGCCAGTTAGTAGACAGATTACAATCATGAAACAATATTTAAGTAACAGATGGTTTTATATTTTGCGTTAGCCAACCACAGACGAACTGGGATATAAAAGACAAAGGGAAAGTATGTTCTCCACAATCTAATTAATTGTGTATGTGCTTTTGGAAGAAGAGAGGAGGATTTTCACCAAATTCAACCCGATTTGTCAAACCGATCTGATGCTATGAATCACTCTATTCTTTGTATTGGTCAGTGCAGTCAAAATCGCGCTTTAAAGCATAAAAGCGTACATTTGTACGTATCTGGGACAGTAAAACGATTTAGTTTCCACCTAAAATTGTTCTGTACTCGAAATCGGTCAAAAGCATAAGTAGAAGCGTTACAATCGCTAAAAATGCATTTTTGTAACTCTTTTCTACGATTCCAAGTAATGGGTCGGGACCACGGCCCAATTCCATTTCAATGACGCCGTTTTAGCGGTAAAATAAAGAAAGGGTTGTATCGAGCTGCTCACAGTCAACCGAGCATCTCCCCCAATTCGAAATCCCTAATTGGAGAACCAAGAAATTGTTTGCATGAAGCATCCACCGACTACAAGCCCACAACCATCGGATGAGGGACGACCAGCCTCCACCGTCGCCAGCAGATGCGAGGACTCCACCACTCGCCACCTCCGAGACTTCGATCGTCACTTTTCATCCCAGCACAAGCTTCCTCTACCATCGTCGCTCGCCGTTGCCACCGAAATTGCTCCACTGATGCGGCTTTCCATCTCCAACCAGGAGACCGTGTGAGTTGATGAATGAGGGGAGGAGTTCCATGCGACAACAGCGTGAAATATGGGCAGAAGAGATATGCTAGATTGGGGGAGTGTTGGTTAAGAAAGAATAAAAAATTTAATCGAATGTTGATATAATGAGATGGTGGATGCATTACTGGGTGGTGGAGGGATAAAGATTGGGGAAACGAAGAGAAGATGAAGTAAAGTAGGGATTAGGATTGAAGTCCGAAAGGGTTAGTAGTACCGGGGGATTATTCTATTTCTTTTCTTTTGACTCGCACGAAACTACACCACAATAAAACCCCAACTAGAGCACAAGTTTTTAAACTCTAATCGGGTGCAGTATAGGGCAAGTATTTAGATATCGACCTGGGCCGGTCCCTCTACCCCTACTTCAGTTGCTGAAATCATTATCTAGCAACAAAACATTGGTTTAAAGGTTTGCTAATTGAAATGAAAGAAAGCAAAGGTAATTTGGTTTGAAAACTCTTGTGAGAAAGTCACTCGGGTGTCGCTTCCCCATAACCGCTACTATGCTATGTGGATTGGAACGATTTCCTTGGGCACGTTAATCGTGAACCACATTGGAATGCATATGTGGTCGGACTCTAACCGCTACCATGCTATGTGGATTGGAATGATTGCCTTGGGCACGTTAATCGTGAACCACAGAGGAATGCATATGTGGTCGGAGACCACAGTCTCAATTGCTAAACCGAGGTAAGGATGAAAGGCCGTGTCACTCGACCCTCTCGGTTTAGACAATCGGTAATTGACTTACTCCCTCACTCAACTCTAAGGTCGGACGATTTAATCACGATCAAGGTTGTCAAACCGGTTTATACCGTTGTGCCGGTTTGGCAAGTGGAATGGTACGACCGGTGGTATAACCAGTTTGTGCCGGTTCATGCCGGTCTAAAAAAATTCGAAAAAAATTAATATCCAATGTATTTAATCATATATAAAACATATTTGTGGACAATTTAGTTACAATCCAACAAATATCATCAACTTTTAACTATTACATTCATAAAATGAATAATAAATTATTATTTGTATTAATTAAATTCATTAAAATTATGTCATTTTACTTAGAATGCGTAAATCGATCATACCGGTGGTGTCATGACCAGCACAGGTTCAACCGGGTGGCATGCCACCGGCATGACAACCATGATCACGATTAATCGACTTTTTAGGTGGCTTAGAAAGCGGAAGGAAAACCAACTCAATTGAGTCTCCCTTGGAAGGGGGATTTTCCTCTCTAAACTAGGCTAAGGTGGCAAATTAGATTACTAGCACCTAAATGCACAAATCTAGGGGGTGCTAAGCACAATTATGCACAATCCTTAGGTTGCTAAGCACCTAAATGCACAAACCTAAGGAAGCTAAGCACAAAACATGCACAATCCCTAAGTTGCTAAGCATAAGCATGCACAATCATGGTGAATAATGCCTTAATCATTGAATTGAACAATACCCAATGACAATCATCCAAAACACATACAAGAAAACTACATGGTAGAGTTAGGGTTTCACTACATCCAAGTGAAAAGCCGTCTACTCCATGCTAGAAGTGGGGAAAACAAAAGGGGAAAAGGCGGAAACCATATTTGAAGATGCTCCCGGTCTTCTTGATCCTAGAGATGAGCTTTCCTTGGAGGAAATCTTCCCCAAAATTTGCCTTGAAGCCACCCTAACCTTCTTCTTCCCTTTGGTTTTGTTTCTCTCACTAGAATACTAAAGAAGGTGTTTCACACAAAAGTGGACTATCTCCTCTCTCCTCTCTCCTCTCTCCTCCTTTCATCTCATCTTTTAAACCCGAGATGAGTTGAGTTCACGGCCGTGAACCATGAAATGCATCGGTGAACTCCACGCGTGCGCCAAAACGCGCCTCATCGCTCACATACGTTCATAGTCAACTGTTTGTGTTCACGGTCTTAGTGACCGTGAACTCACCTTGCGTCAGTAACCTTCACATTGGCTCTGGACGCCTCGCGATTCACGGTCAACTCCTCTTCTTCACGGTCTTGCATGACCGTGAACTCCCTCAGTTAGCCATGAACTGGCTCTTTTTCACCCCTTCTCCCGGTTTTCGATCCTTTTTGCCAATCCTTCGACTCCGAGGCTCCTTTCACCTGTTAAATCCTGAAACACACTCAAACACGAAGAACTTAGCGTAAAACCAACCTTTTAGGAGCGAATTTGGCACAAATATCTAAGTAAAACGAGGGCAAAATATGTGCAATTAGGTTCGAATCACCCCCCCCCACACACACACACTTAGACGTTTGTTTGTGCCCAAGCAAACCATTTCACGCACACGGTAATATTTCAACCTACACAAATACTTTGGGAACAACTCAAAGGGCCTGAAGCGGGAATTCTCGATGTTTATTGACAATCAACACATGAACTGTTGCAAGCAATCTTGACATCCACCACAAACGACATTCAAAGCCACCAAAATGGGCAAATGAAAAGTTCTCAACTTATTCATGGATAAATGCAAGTCTCAACAAAACCGTTTATCGACCACAACCAAAGCATGGAATTCAAGTCCGAGGAACAAATGGAAAGGCAACGAAGGTCCTCACCGGGGTATGAAATGGTAAGTAAAACAAGAATGAATCACTCACTCTCAAGACCAGTGGGGTCGGGACCTTTTTGGTGCAAAAGATGTGCACAATCGTAACCTCTCGGCCTTATCGTCTTAATACCACGGTGGTAACCTCTAAACGCTAGATTTCACGCGATGGTTGTCACCACTAGCTCGTCTGGAGGTCTTAGACACGGGTTCAGATGACTGGAAATTATCATGGCCATGGGAAAAAGACTTTTTGGGTGGTGGCAATCATGACGTGAGGTTCTATATCTTCAACCTAAACCCGAAGGTTCTATGGTTTTGATTCTTCTCTTCAATCAAAGGCCACTAGCTTCGGCCAAAACCCTTATCTCTCCCTTTCAACTATCATCCATCATGAACTACCTTGAAGCACTCTTCCTCGGTCAACTCTTGCTAGCTCTTTAAGGTTTGGTAGTGAAGGATTTCTAAATAATGTGGGGGTTTCGATGGCTTGGGTGCCAAGAAACCCCCTCCTAGAGCATGTACTTTGGTTTTCGTGGCACTCTCTACTTTATTTACCCCATTTTATTACCTCTTTTTCGTTTTCTCTTTTCTCTTCTTTTCTTTATCTTTATCTTTTTCTTTTTGAGGGGGGTATTAAAGAGTAAAAACACTTGCCACCTAAATATTTATCGAACAATGCTTTCTTTTTGATGAACTAACTCCAACACTACACTCCATTTTGCATTCCTAGCAAGAACCACACATAAACCTCCTATGTAGAACCTCTATGGAAACTCAAAGGTAAGAGCTCTAGGACACACGGGCGACTCATGTTTAGACACGAAGAAAGGATTTGGGGGTCATTCTACTACCACCTTTAAGCTCACACGAACGAAGCTCCTAAATTGAGAACGATCCACGGAGTCACAAGACTGAAAGGGGTTGACTAAGGGATGATGCATTTCGGACAATCAACTTTTGGCCGTAGACTAATCCTATGCCTCCATCATACTTGCTAGTGACAATTGTGATGCTACACACTGTGGTAAGATGGAACTATCTCACCGAAAGAAACGATTGGCTCAAAGCTCACAGGCTACCTAGTTACCCAACCATCTATTTCAATTCACAAACACGATGCATGGCAATTGTAAACAACAAGTGATCATGTCAAGACATCCATTCATTCATGCACACTTGAGAACTAAACTTTTTCCCTATCCTAATGAACTTCTCAGTCATCATCATAGGATATACTTGATCACATGCAACAATTCAAGATCAATGCCATAAACACGAGAATTTCCCACCATCTGGCCACTTTAATCATGCAAACATTGCTTGGAGCCCTCAAATTTTGAATTTTGGGTATACAAAAGGCTCTAAGCAACATCTCACACACACAAGCATACTAGTACACTACCCCCCCCCCCCCACCCACACACACACACACTTAAACTCGGCATTGCCCTCAATGGCGTAAGAAAAGGGGTAGAGTGATGTAACACCCTACACTATACGTTTTGCCTAATAATATTGTTCATACAATTGCAGAAGAATTTATCACGGGTGTTACATTAATTATCAAAATTTACCCAAATAAAATTTTGACATGAATTACTCGCGTAATGGGCTAACAGTTCTTGCAACTTATCCTACAAAATAATTCATCACAAACATATATACCCACAACCATATGCATTGGCTTTTCTTAGCCATAGTCACACTTTTCATATTCCACAACTGCATACCATACTTATACATACCATAATCGTCAGAACTTACACAGTTACACAACATATACACATATCATCAACTTTCCACACCTGTGGATATCTCACACTACATCAAAAGCTAGTATGTACATGAAAAACGTTCTCAAAACATTTTTTTTACAAAAAGGTGTGGATCACTGGCCAAAATCCCAAGTAGTCGTCCAAGCACAGAATAGTTGAAGACCATACCTCATCCTGGCTTCAACTCTAGCTCCTCTCCCACCTAACACTTATCTACTGCTGCTGATGATCTGCTTACACATGGCATAAGCAGAGAAAAAGAATAAAAGAGGGTCAGCTCATGGCTAAGTGAGACAATCATTGCATCGTGAATTCATAACAGAGCATACCCCTACCATACATCTAGCAAACAAGCCAAAGCACTAGGATCAGACCTCAACCATCTGACATCCCAATAGGCCAAAGACTTAACCATCTTGACTTATGCATAGGCATCTTATCATGTGTTACTTATAGGCGCCTGGCTACTCCCATGCTAATAACTCTCCCGGGAAACATACCTCACATCCCGTCGGATGTAGTCATACATACCCCAACATCCCGTCGGATGTGGTCATACATACCCCACACCACTATGGGTGTAGTCATACCCCTACACCACTCTGGGTGTGGTCATATTTCGTAAGAATTCTTCAGTCACCACCACAT